ATGCCCTCTTATCACCCAGCCCCAGCTCACTCACCATTGCACCGGCTGCCAGTTGGGTAGGAATGGCCGGAATCCTGTAATGCACTCGAAGGCCAGTGTGCCAAAGCTCCAGTAATCCACTGTCACCGTGTATTTCTGCTGTTCCAGCAGCTCTGGAGCCTGAGAGAGTTTACACAAATAAGACAAAGCCACCCATTTCTTAGCTCTCTCTATCCCTTAAGACCTCATTAACATTTGTATAACAGATGAAAGGCTGTGCTGAATGCTTTGTCTCTCATGAGCTTTGGGATCCATGCACCCAGGACAAGCAGAGGTTATTGGCACCTAAGGCTTCCTGTGAAAAGCCAATGTCAGCAAAAAAGCCCATTCACCTTTGCTAGCTGCAGCACCCCAAATGCACCTCATCCCAGCCCAAAGCCTGGTAACAGTTTACAATATCCCACTGCAAAACAGTAGCTGCTCTTCTGGCTTAACTCCTTCCTTACCAAGTACTGTAGAGTCCCAACAAAGGATGTGCACAGGCTACCCTGATCCAACTCCTTAGCATAACCAAGGTCAATGATTTTGTGTATTAACTGAAACACACAACAGAGAATAAAAACACTGGAGAGAAGTCCTGTTAAAAGCACACCATACAGCAGAGAAAGAACTTGTCTGTGCAGGCAGAGACACCTGGTTCCTGCTTACCCTTTGCTCTCCCTGCTGCAGCACAATGTTCTCTGGTTTCAAGTCTCTGTGGATAATCCTGTTCTCATGAAGGTACCTGAGAGCAGAAGCTGGGAGACAGAAAAAGCCACTTTTAAGGAGTATAACTAAAGGTGCCTAGCATGAGCTCAGTCAGGATTCATTTCTACCTAGTATAAGCATGGCTTTTGGGTCAAATCTTGTGTCATCAACACACAACTGAACTTCAAGTGCAAGAGGAAAAATCAGTGTCAAACACCTCTGGACACAGACAGTTTGCTCTCTGGGTATCATTTCCTGGTCACTACAGAGTACAAGGATGAGGCAGCAGAATACAAATGAGCACAAAGGATGGGAGATGATGCCTAACAGCCACACCTGCAGTAAAAGTAATGACAAATGCACATTTATCCTCTTGCCAGAAGCTCACTTTCTAAGCATACACCTACCCTAAATATACTTTTTATCTTCTCTCTAAGGCCTTAGTGCCTGTCCAGTTCTGCCTTGGCTGCTACTCTGTAAGATTACAACACAGCTTGATCAAAACACTGCACTCCAAAAGCATCTGGGCAGCACCAGGCAAGTGGCACCAGAACTGTCTAAAATTCCACGTAGTGGCTGCCCAAGTGCTAATGGAAACCCACTCCAGAGGCCTGACGGTCAGCTGCTAAGCTAAGGGTGAAATCTGATGTGCAATGTAAACTAAAGTCACTTGGCCAGTGTTCAGCTGTTCGGCCTCCCAGAAGATCCCAAGTGGCATTTCGGCTGGCCAAGAAAACCCATCTCTACATTTGGAAGAACACAAAAAAAATCAAAGGTTGGCTCTCCCACAGGGAGAATTGCAGAGCAAGACAGGAAACAAGTATACTCTTTAGAGGTAAGCCTAAGGTGGAGTCATTAAGCTCACTGCTTAATAGACTTAGAGTGGATTCAGCACTGAAAGGGCTTTCATACTTGAGACAACTGAAGGTATTGCTACGACTTACCGATATCAGATAACAAGATGAGAATAGCTTCTTCCCGCAAGCCACAGCAATTCTCCAGCTGATTCAGGTACTGCAAGAAAACAGCACAGAATAGTCTTTCCCTCCTGTATCCCAAGTGAACTTCAGTCCCACAAACTCTCACAGATGCAAGAAGTTCCAGTAACAGCAATGAAACTCTCTAGAATCACAAAACTCTATGGGGTTGTCACTGTCAGCAATAGCAATTACAGCTTCAGACCTTGGTCTAAGCACACAGGAGGAGAACAAAGTGGGTGAAAGAAGCCAGTGTCACCCCCACTTGCTTCTACTTGCTCCATCCTTTACAGCCATTTCCCCTGTGCCTAACAGAATCAGCTCAAATCTCAGCTCTAAGCTCTGGGTTTTATCTAGGAGTAAATTATGCTGAAGGTTAGAAAACCAGTAAGATCAGAATTAACCTCCTATGGCAGATAAGAGTTAATTACTTTCTGTAAGGGTACAGCCCACAGAGGTCTTGGCTATACACCCTGTTCCACATCGCTCACACATGCTCTCATGCTCTATGTGCAAAGTCGTCACAGTGTCACTTGCAGCCAAGCAAACACAAAAAGCTTCCAAAAGCACTTGTTTTCAAAAGCAGAACCTGGTATCAAGAACCAACCCACCAAAACCTGTTGTTGCCATGGCAAGAATTAGGCAGCATCAAGATGTGGAAACAGGTTTTACAGGGAAGCTTCAACAGAAACCCTAGGATCAGCTGAGAAGCTGATGATGTGGCTTTTCATCAGCACCGAAGGGAGCTCACCTTGCGGAGGTCTCCGCCTTGGCAGTACTCCATGGCCAGCAATGGCAAGTCATTTGGTGCAAGCTTCTGCATCCCTTCAGGGACATCACGGGCAGCCACCACATTGGGATGGTTCAGCCTGAGGAGCAGAAATGAGGCAAGTGTGCACAGTGAGTGGAACCAGGGTAACACCCGAAAGGTGTTCCGCAAGAGCTCTGCAGCATCGCGTGCTCACGGTCATCACACACAAGCCTACAAAGGCTTTAGTCCTTTTAGAACTTGTGAATTCTGAAGGTCTGTGATTCATCCATCCTTCATGGACCCAGACTCATCCCAACTCCTTTAGCTTCACATGCAGAGCATTCCTTCAAGGTCCTGAGAGCTACAGGCGCATGCCTCGCAACGGAGCGTGGCACAGTCCATCACCAGCCTCCAGGGAAGACCCAAGCCACGACCAGAGCGCTGCATCCACCAAAACCAACCCAGCACCCAGAGAACAACCCTCAACGGACAGGCCTAACGCCCGCGCTTCACGAGCAGCTCAGAAACGCCGCAGAACGGAGCCCACGGCCCGATCTGCGGCCGGAAACGCAACGCACGGTTCTTTACCGCGGGCCCCCTCCGGAGCGGAACGGAACGGAACCGAACGGGCTCCCCCCCCCGGAAGAGGCGGCCGATGGCCCCTCCCGCCGCCGTTAGGGCCGCGCCCGCCCGCCCCGGCGGTGATGGGGCACCGGGCCCGGCCGCGGTGCCGCCCGCCTCACCTCTTCATGATCTGGATCTCCAGTGCCCAGCGGTCGCGGTTGCGTGGGCTCAGCTCCTGCCGGCACTGCTTGATGGCCACCTGCTCGCCGGTCTCCTGCGGACACAGGGCGGGCTCGGCTGAAGGCGGGCGCCGGGCCGGGAAGGGGAAGGGAAGGGGGAGCGGCCGCCGCCTACCTTGTTGTGCCAGCGGATAACGTTCCCAAAGCCGCCGGTGCCGAGGCGCTCCTTCATCTCCCAGGGGCCGCAGGTCTGCGCCTGCAGGGCCGGCGGCCGGCTCATGACGGGGCCGCGCCGCTCCGGCTCCACAGGGCCTGGGCCGCCTCCGCCAGCGCTTCCGGCTCCGGCGCAAGCGCCCGCCTGCCCTTAAAGGAGCCGCGCGGAGCGGGAGCTGCCACCGCCGCTGCCGCCGCCGCTCCCGGGGACGTAGCTCCGGAGCACAGAGCAGCAGAGCGCCGCAACCGGCACCGAGCCGCTTGTCTCCGTGGTACACCGCTGCACGGATGAACGCGCGGGCCCGGCACGGGGGTGCCCCCCGGGGGACGCGGGCCTGTGGCACGCTGCGTCCCGACCCCTCGAGCAGCCCTGCTGAAACCCCTCCTGAAACGGGAGCGAACTAGAGGTAAGCCAGTAGATGGTGCTTGAGAGATGGCTGGTGATGGTTTCCCCCACCACGAACAGCACCCACACCACTCTCTGGACAGCTATAGTGGCCCTTAAGCTGCGAAAAGTTGAGAAATGGTAGCTTCTGAAATCGACCCTCATGGCCATTACTTTGTTAGCATCTTTAACCCAGAATTCTAGTAGCAACTAGCTGTTATCTTTAAAAATGACATGAATTAGCCCCTGCTCACTCAGCTGTGTTTCACTCAACAACTGGAAACAATCAGAGCTGCCCCTAAGTCAGATTTATTTCTGGCTGTAATGCTCACCAGCAGCACTGGGACTCTCAGAGAAAATATGTGATAATATTGATGGTTTTCCATACATAGAAGAGCTAAATGTGCAGAGTAAGCAGGGTTTCATCTTTGCCAATATGCAAAATACCCACTGCCATGCTTCCCAACCGAGGATGCTGTGCAGCTGCTTCCTGAAGATGGAGATCCCTCACACGCTATTTCTTATGTCTGTGTTTATGCTAAATTGTATGAGGAACCCGATTTTTAGTGATTCTGTTCCTAAAAGTTAGAATACATCCATTACTGTAACAACTGCATCACTGGCTGTTTTCATCACCCTGAGCTCACTTCGCCTCCCATACTGATAACCCAGTGCTTCACGAACCACACACTGCTGAGTAGATTTTTCTAGGATGCACAGTATCAATGAACATTTAACTCTTTGGTCCCCAACATGCAATTCCTTATTCCTACCTAAGGGTCCTTAGGAGTTCTGCTCATTGTCCCCACTTTACCTGGGAGCTCCTGTGACCATTTTGTCCCCATGGCACTGTCCATGGCATGCGCCTGCCTGCCGAAGATTCCCAGCGGATTCCCAGCACACTGCTCTTTCTTGAAACAGGAGTTTCTCAGTACTAGAACTAAGCTACAGCTTGCAGCTCCTCTGGTCGTGTTGGAGGTAACACATCTCACAGTCCCACGAGCACGATGCACAGCGGGGAGGAATACGCGCTGTTCTCAAGTCACTGAAGCTTAAGGTGTTCAACGGGGAAGCGTTTAGAAGACTGCTCTATTGAATGGGAGAGAGAACGAACAACGCGGGCTGCTGTAAACCAGCGTCCCCCGCCCGCCCAGCCCGGCCCCGAGCCCCAGGCAGGGGCCGCCCCATCCCGGAGCCTCTCCCGGGGGGGGACGCGGGTTCCAGCCCCCGAGTCTCCACCCCCTGCGCGGGGCTCGGGGCAGGAGCCGCTGGGAGCGCGCAGAGCAGCGGCGGACAGCAGGAACCCGCTGCTCTGCAGAGCTCCATCCGCGGATACAGCAGAGAGAAATCAAAGGTAGGTCCGGCTCTGCACCTGCCTCACAAAGCGCAATGCCCGGTTTCAGCATCAGCGGCATTGTCACTGAATGCTATTAACTATTGTTATTTAATGAATCCCGCTGAAGCACCGCGGTGGTTAACTAACTGAGCTATTGCCTTTCAGCTCTGGAGGAGGTTCCTAACGCTGGGTACAGCTGATGGCTTTCAGTTATGCCAAGAAAGCTTCAGCTCTTGCAGGGGAAGGGCTGGCAGCTGCAGCTAGCAGGGGGGAGGTCTCCTGTCCAAAGAACATTAGCAAGAGAACTTAAAGCAAAAGAAGAGTTATGGACAAATACCTTAATGGTAAGGAGAGACCCAGAGAGCTAGCTGTGAAAGGAGAATCCATCCCAGCCTGGGAAATTAGGCTGTGTGCTCATCCCAGGCTCCCAACCAGGGTAATGGAGGGACAGCGAGCAGGAGGGTGGATCTTCAGATCACGCTTTGTAAATGCAGCCAAAACCACAGGAAAATATTGAGAATGATTCCCAAAACAAAGCCAGAGTTTGAAATATCCATTTCCTCCAATGCCTTCAGAGACTGCAGAAGCTTTCTCTTGTGGGGTTTTTACAGAGTTCTTTTCCCCAAAGGCACAGATCTGTCTGCTGTTACATCTTAAACAGAAATAGTTCAAGTCTGATATTCATCTGCTCAGTTTAGCAAAGGGATACAGAAGCACTTTCTCCAGAAGGCAGGAAAGGTCAGCGAGGATCTGCAGTCTTTCACTTAAACAAGATCAATATAGCTATTCATCAGCAAGAACCCTCTTAGTGCTATAGATTCAGAATCAGAGCATTCTGAAATGCACAAACTAAGTGATTGGAAGGCGTACAGGGGTTTGGGGGGAAGGTACTTTGATTTCAGTTAATGACTTTTTGTTCAACCTTGATAGGTACATTCTTTTTTAGGTCTTATTCTACACTGGTAAGATAATACACTCTTACTGCTTAGAAGGGCTGTTATTAATAAGTGGGATTTCAAGTATTCCTGCTGACGATACTTCAGCAAAGAGCGATACATTTGGGGTACTGTATATCTTTACATCCTAATATACCTTAAAGTGTAGAATCAAACTATCAGAGCACCACATCTAAGCCTCTGGCTTACTGCTAGAGGATTTTTGATCAGAGAGGAAGCAAAGGGTGAGAGCAGAAGGCAGGAGCTGTTTAGGGGAGCCCTACAGAAAGCACACTGCTAGTGAAGTCTTGTAAACATGGTATTCTTCAAACAGCCATATGGTTTCAATTTGATAGGGCTTATCATTCAGAACATTCCAATTGCCTGCCCTAAGTTTTACCTTTCCCGAAACTGAAAACAAACATCTGGCAACATCTGTTGTCAGTTTTCCATGCAGAACAGCCACCAATGGGTGGAGAAGCATCTCCCACGGACAGGGGGAAAGGTGGAGGGGAGAGCCTGTACAGAGGCAGCAGGAACAAGTGCAAGTCCAGACCACTGCTGATTTAGTTCAGATTCCACTGAAGGAAATGCCTATTTTGAAGCCACTCTTGCAGCTTTTTAAAAAGGCTTGCTATGCAGTGCAAGATACTTCCTAAGTGGTGAGAAAGGGCTTGAAAGTATATAGAGAAGTACCTTACAAAATCTGCATAGTAATACAAATCCCCAGGAGAGGCTCTGAATTACAAGGATCTCATTGTCGAGATAAGAATTGGAGTAACTAAGGTTCTTGGAAGCTGTTCCTGTGAATCTTTTCAGTCTGACTTGCAACTTAAGTCTCCTCTTTGTGTGGTCTAATGATGAGAAGCTAAAGGCTAAATTATCCTGCTGCACTCCCAGTTCTGCTTCAGAGACTGGGATATTTGTGCCTTTTGCCTTTTCTTTGAACAAGTATTTAAAAGAAACCAACACAACCCACAAAGAAACTCCCTCTCTTTTTTAGCCTTGAATCCCAATTTATGACTCATTCAGCTGTTATACTCCAATTTCAGCAGCTATTATCCAGCTGCCTTCTCTGGGTTCATATAAACAGAGTCTGAGCTCCTCATTTCTGGAAGTAATTTCTCCAACAACTGGGTTAGATTTCTACTTGCTCAGAGATCTTATCATGGAGATGATAAAAAGGTGATAGTGTGGGAGGCAGTGCCTGAGTATTATTGCAAATATTTGGAATTGCAGAGCAATCCTGGAGATTGGGAATGAAATTCTATCTTCTTGCCTGCTGCTCTGCCTCACTCCCAGCTCTTGGTATGTATAGAAGGCATTATACTTTTAAAGAAAGAGAGAAAATGGACCTCTGGTGCTGGATGTGGTCAAAGCAGGGGGGTTCCCCTCTGCATCACACTCTAGCCATCATTTCAGCCATCTAAGCTGACTGCTGTAGCAGTCTTGGTGAGTATAGAGGATCAGTCTAAATCTGGTCACACTGGTGATTACTTGTGTCTTACTCAATTGTAAAGAAGAGCTCCTGTTATGCATGCAGGAGTAACTATTACTTTTAGGAAGAAAATTATGGGTTCAAACCAGAAAACCTGTGATAAAGTTACTTATTGTAAGGGTTCAGATTACACAGCTTCTAAGGACTGGAGCTGTCATTATTATTACTCAACTGTGAAAACTGATACTACTTTCCCAGTTTTTAAAAGACATATTGGACCTTGCTAGTTAATGCCATAGACACCGTATCTAAACCTCTGACACTGTACAATCAGCTGCATTCATTATGCCATGAACAACAGCCTCCTCCCCCACCAGTGTCCTGTAGGTGTACCAATAAATCCTCATTTAAAGTCCTCCAGTTCAGCAGTGTTTCTAAATATAACATAGGACTTCGCTAGCTACCATACTGGTGCTGCTGAGATGAGGCTTTGCTGGAGCTCTTTTACATACACAGATGTACATATGTATATGCACATATGTGCAACTTCTACAGTTGGTCACCTAGATAAAAGAATGGGCAAAATAAATCCTCCAGGATTTTTCCTCCAGGGATTAACAGAGGAGCTGGAAGCCCACAGCAAAGCACACTGCCTTCATCAGGAAGCAGACCACCTTAGAAACCTTTTGATGCCTTTATCAGCAAAAGGTTTCTAAGGTTTCTTTGTCAGCAAAAGGTTTCAGCAACTTTACTTCAGACTCCATCTGAAGTGTAAAGATGCTGAAGGGATTAGCAGAAATAAGTAGTTGGGACTGCATAGGAGTGCAATGGATAAATGAGAGCACCAGCCCAAAAGCCAGCCTGCCAGCCAACTGGCATACTCTCCCTTTTCAGCAAAAGCATAACAACAGTAGTAGAAACTAAAGGCTCAGCTAGGGAGAAGCTTTAGAAATATTGAAAACCAAAGACATAGCAGTGCTGTCCCCACCTATCATCAACCAAAGCCTCCTTGCTGAAGCATCCTCAATACAGGAGAGGCCCTCGCTCTTGCCCAAAAATAGCAGTCTGTACAGAAAACGAAAATCCTCTTAAACCACTGTTAGCACAGACTGACCCTTCAGCAGATTCTTGAGTCCTTGCAAGAGATCTCTTAGGCTTCAGTGACCTGAATCTCAGTGAACACTTTCCAATCAGCAGTACAACTCCTTCATTAGACAAGTCCATCTCTACACACGCAATCCTGCTGGCTTCCAGCAACCTTGAGAAAAAGGACTTGGAACTTAATTCTACCAGTGTTACTCCCCAGAAACATTCTGTGAGCTTCCTCCAGACCTAACAGTGTGTGCTTTAGCTTGTCATGTTTCTAACTTTATCAGGTAGAAGCACATCTGGGTCCAGCCTGACAGTCTCCCTTGTCCAGGGTCACCAGGACAGCCAGTCCTGATGACTGAGAACTGCACAGTAGAAAGCATGTTTTAATGTAAAAACAATTGTCATAATTTAAAACCTGTATTTAAACTTCTGCCCTCGAACTCCATTCACATTGTAAAATGCCTTTGTTCAATGCCTTGGTTTTTGTCTCTGTAGGTAACTTGAGATTTGGACATGATGTGGAAAACACTCAGGATGGAAGGCAAAGTCCCATGTCTGCTCCTGCTGGTGGGAGCAGTTATGACTGCTCAATGCCAGGTAAGAGGCTAATGGATCAAATAATGCTCTTGCCATCCTGTGTTTTGAGCAGTACTTCCTTACCATTGACTCCAGCTGTCTCCATCAGACAGAATGAGAATCTGCTTAGATCTGTGGCAACTCCATGGTTTATAGTTACCCACACTGAGACACTAAAGGCACTTTTCACTGTACTGTCTGACAAGGAGGGCAGAGAGTTGCTCCGAGCTCTCCTGATTTACAAGGCCTCAAGAAGACGATGGAGGCACTTGTTCTCTCTTTTTTCTGAAGAGAGCAGTGACTCACAGAGTTAACCTTCTCTGCTTGCAGGGCTTACGCACACGATTCAAACGGGGAGCCAGGTCCAGAGGTAAGCCATGCAAACTACAACCATGTTACCTGGAGCTTTGTGAACACAGGAGGGGAAAGCAGGTGATGCTGAGGGAACAGAGCCTGAAAGCTGTTTGTCACGGTTATCTGGATGAGAGATTCAGAAGACGAAAGAGCAGACCATCAATACAATGCACAACTCAAGGAATAAAGTTTTCCCCTCCCTCTGCTCTTCTTCAGAGAAAGAGGCTGTCGATAGCAGAGCTTTTTTCCTGGGAAGAGAAGGGAGTTCTTTCGCTCAGCCAGGTCTTTTCCCTGACTCTCTAAAAGAGGATTTTCCTTTCTCCAATTACAGCCATTTGCACAGAAAAATCATCTGGAGAAATCTACCAGCACAGGGGGACCTGGCTGAGGCTTTCAGGGAGCAGAGTAGAGTACTGTAGGTGCGACAGCGGTCGGAGTCGCTGCCACACTGTGCCTGTCAGAGGTGAGTATGAGGAAGAAAAAGAGAAAGGAAGTGGTGGGGGATGAGAGATTTTCCATCTAAGTATCCTAAAGAACTCCACTTTCAGGAAAGGAGTTATCACACAGAAAATCTGGCTTGAAATAGACTAGGATAGAAATGAAAATACTAATATGTACTGACTTAGGCAGGACTAAAAGGGAGTGGGCAAGAGGCTGAGGAAGGCTCCTAATAGCACATGGAGAGAATGGAGCAAAGGAAGAATGTGAGCACTATACAAAAAGACTGTAAGCACATGATAGAACAGCCTAAAGGAGACTGACAGCAGAGGAATGATGGGTATGCATTGATAGCTTCTTACTTCTGTGAAATATAACAGTATTCTGGCTTTTGCTTATTCCACAGCCTGCACTAGAATTAAATGCTACAACGGGGGCCAATGCTCACAGGCATATTATTCCCCACAGCTCTTCATCTGCCAGTGCCACCAAGGTTTCTCTGGGAAGCAGTGTGAAATAGGTGAGTATACCAACGCTACTGGCTTTAGTTATGCAGTGCAGAAGGATGAGGTACCCAGAAGATGTACATTTTATTCCCTTTTGTTCAGATACTGCAGTTAAGTGCTACAAAGATGCTGGAGTAACATACAGGGGTACATGGAGCACGACAGAGAGCGGAGCTGAATGTTTAAATTGGAATAGCAATGGCTTGATGGACAGGAAGTACAGCAGCCGAAGAGAGGATGCTGCTGAGCTGGGACTGGGCAATCACAACTATTGCAGGTGAGGGGCTGATGGCACCCAGGTCAGAGGCACAGGAATCAGCCTAAAGGCTTGGAGCAAAGGAATGGCTGTTTGCAATAGTCTAATGTCAAGCAAAGAAATAACGTGCAGCCCATGAGCAGCAATTGCAATTTCTGTAGACATATCTCAGCTTCAAATCCACCTAGACTGGATGCTTATGGCAGACTACAAAATGCATGCATCTCTCACCCCATAGTCTTTCCCTTGTCCGTTTTCAGTGCCTAGAACTCCCTTTGTAGCCAGTTTCCTGCAGCTCCAGATCCTGCTCATAAACTAAACTTCACAAACAAGCTGTCCACTCCTGCCAGCTACTGTTTCATCCTCATTTACATGTACTCCACAATCAACATAGGAATCCAAATGACTTCTGAAGGTTCAGTCCATGTCTTCACTGCAGAGCAGGATTAAGTTACCAAACTAGATGGCAGACATGAGACTAATAACAATAGCTTCATAATGATGCGTAATATCATAACTCTTTCAGAAACCCAGATGAGGATTCCAGACCTTGGTGCTATATCTATAAAGGGGGAAAGTACATCTGGGAACACTGCAGTGTGCCCTCCTGTTCAAAAGGTACATGCAGGGGGACAGGGAATGGACTTCACAGCTTCCATGATTCACTGCGTATCTAATGGTTCTCTGTGGACTTGTGCTATTTCTGCAGCTTGAAAAGTTGAACCTCTAACATTAATCATGGTTAAGCTTTTAATATTTATGACACTGAGAGACTGAGATAAGTATAGCTAGTATACAGCCTTGCCAGAAATCACAGTTAGGAAGAGCTAACAGGTTCACATCCATTAGTTAATATACAGCTTTCTTATTGAAGCTGGAAACAGCAACTGCAGATCTGGAAGAGGCACAGATTACCGAGGCAGCCACAGTGTTACCAGCTCCGGAGCTACCTGTTTGAGGTGGAATTCCCGAATCCTTGTCAACAAGTTATATACTGCTTGGAAAAGAGATGCTTACCAGCTGGGCCTTGGTACTCACAACTTCTGCCGGTAGGTAGTCACAGAACTGAAGTCCCACCAAACTTCCTTGTGGTGCTCTTCAGGCCAGGCTCTTTTATGTGGGTTATTTAAGCACGGGAAGTACATTACTGTTGGGAATGAAGCTCACTGACAATAGTAATTTTATTCCACCTGACCTATCTATGCTTTTGTAACATCAGACTCCATAAATTCAAGTTCCACATGGTCCTAGGGCCCTCTGTTATCTCTAGAACACTCAGGTCACAGGCTGCCACCTTTAGGTCTCCCCAAACTCTCTTCACATCTGATAATACAAATAGTTTTTCTCTTTCCTGTGCTGCAGGAATCCTGACAATGACAGCAAGCCCTGGTGCCATGTTCTGAAAGGAAATCAGCTCACATGGGAGTACTGCAATGTGCCTACTTGCTGTAAGGATCTGGCACTCCTGTGTCTTCTCTTTCTTCGCAGCATTACCGTTCTGCATGTCATTTGTATTAAGCTCAAGCTTCTTACAGTAAAATAGGAGCTGGAGGGGGACACCCCCCCCCCCCAGACCAAACCAAACCCCCCTTCAGCAGGTCCTTTTTAGAGCAGAAAGAGATTCTGTGGCTCCAGCCTCACAGAAGTGCCTTTTTCTCTGCCAGAAGGGAGGACAGAAAAGGCAGGGTTTCCTTACTGTATTTTTCACATCAGAATACAAGTTTCCTAGGAAACAGGAATGAGTCAGTTACTACACAGTTCATGCCAGGCAGCCTCAACATGCACTGGCAGCTAACAGGCTCTTAACCCAAACTCCAGGCAAGAAGGCCTGAACAAAAAGCCTGTCTCTGGGTTTGTCATCCACAGCCACCTGCGGCTTGCGGCAGCGCCGAGGACGCCAGTACAGGATTAAGGGTGGCTCCTATGCAGACATTGCAGCTCACCCGTGGCAAGCTGCCATCTTCGTGAAGTACCGCCGGGCGCCTGGAGAGCACTTCCTCTGTGGAGGAATCCTCATCAGTTCCTGCTGGGTTCTGTCAGCTGCTCACTGCTTTGAGGAAGGGTAAGTTGAGGATTCAGTGCTGTTGCGCGGACCAAAACCAACCAAACCCCAACACAACCAGACTGAAATTGGAAGCATCCAGTCTTGCCTTACTAGAAAAGGCTTGTCATTGTACACTAAAGAGTGTAAAGTTAGCTGTGCAGAGCATGACAGACAGGCAATTGTTGGGCCGACTAACAGCATGGCATTAAGCTATCACTTCAGAACAGCAAGCAGCTGAAGAACAAAGCTGTCAGTACAGATGCAGATCCATCTGATACTTGAGAACAGCAAGGGGCTGGCAGAGGAGCTTTGCCGTGATGGCTATAAGTAATTATTGCAAAACCAAAGGCAAATTGGACACTTCAGGTCAAACTGCCTGGGTAATGAAGTAGTAATAGTACTAAAATATGAAGAGCAGAAGCTCCAGCAGCACATCTTCAAGAGAAGGGTGCACTCAACATGAGAAGAAAGTTAAGATTCTTGTTCTTCAGCTTTAGTGCAAATCAGCTGAAGATTGTGCTGGGGAGAACATCCCGAGCCACCCCTGAGGAAAATGAACAGAACTTTCAAGTGAAGAGCTACACCGTGCACCAGAGATTTGACTCAGAAAACTTTGACAATGACATTGGTAAGAACTCTGCTGACCTAGTGACTCTGCAAAGGTTGTGGCTGGCTCCAGTTTGTGCTTAATGAAGTTGCTTTCCCTCTTCAGCTCTGTTGCAGTTGAACTCGGATGCAGAGGAATGTGCTATTGAAACAGACACTGTCCGTGCTGCCTGCCTCCCAACACCAGCACTACACATGCCTGCCTGGACTGAATGTGAGATCTCTGGTTATGGCAGAAACGAAGAATGTAAGTAGAAGATATTACAGTTTGTGTCCCCTGCCTTCAAAGAATTCAAGCCTTTAGCACTGCTTAATGTGTGGTTCCCTGAATTATCATATGGGCTTATATCAGCACTACAAAACATATGCATAGTAGGAGATAAACAAGTTTGGGGTTTTGTAAGTTATCTCATTGATCTTAGTTCTCTCAGCTGCATGGGCTCATAGAGTATTGTCATATATATATCTGGGGTTATCTGCTAATACATATCTGCTAATCACATGCAACTACCTGCAACTGTATAGCGTATTAGCAGATAATCCCAGATATATATCTGAAAAGGCTGGCTAAATGGTTTCTAAAGTGAGCTAAATAACAGGAATAAAACATGTCTGAAGGTGTAACAGGCTGACTTGTATTTAAAACAAACAAAATCCCCCAGCTTGGATTTTACTGGTACTTTCTACTAATTTTCATTTCATTTGCTAACTTGTAGCCTCTGTGAGACAGAGACTGTGAAGAAACCACCATAAAAAGACCTAATAATGATTTGAACCCATAGTGGTTTTGGAACAGACTTTGTAACATACAAGTGTGGCATAAAGTGCTATTAAAACCAGTGTCCAGCATTGCTTACAGGGAGTGCAGGGTACACCCTTTGAGAGGGAAAGGATGCTGCAATTGTAATCCAAAACTAGACTGAAAAACAACAACCCTGCCAGCTTTCAGCTTTGTGCAGTCGCAGCTATGCAGAAGAATAAAAGCAACACCAAATCCCTTCCATTCCAGCAAAACACAAGCGTACATTCCTGTCCAGTTTCTCAGTATTGTGTACAACAAGGCATCCGCTTTTTGTTAGTGCAAGCCTAATACTAAAAAGTCAGGATCCTGTTTTGTGCAGTTAGTGATTTTCATAGGCACTTGCTGTGACTTCATTTTGGTTGATGTAACTGTGCAAGGATGACTTACCCATCCATAAACCCCAGCAGTATTTAGAACTTAAGCTTCTTAAAGAAGCAATATTCTCTCTCAACTAGACTGAAGCAGTTCTCACTCACAAAGCAGAACCCCCAGGAATCAAAACTAGACCCTTTGGCAAAGAAATAATAATTTACCTCCCTCTGCCCCCAAATACTTCCATTTATTCTCCTCTAAACTACAGAACCTGAACTGCTTTGGGACTTTTTAAATATATATACACCTACACAGACATATTTATGTATTTATATTGTATTTTTTCTTCCAGTTTCTCCATTCTATTCAGAGCACCTGAAGGAAGGCCATGTGAGACTGTTTCCAGCCAGTCAGTGCACAACACAGCATCTAGGCAACCGGACAGTTACAGACAACATGTTATGTGCAGGAGACACAAGGAACCTTGATGATGCCTGCAAGGTAAACTCAATTCTGTTCTTGAGTCTGAGCTAAGCAAAGAAAAAGCTTCAGAAATGGTTTAAAGTTGTTCTGTACTTGGCTGTGTGGAAGTTCTAGCAGACTTTTCGTCAAACACAACAGAACTGTAGGCTCCTCTTTGCTTCCCCTGCCCCTCAGAGCCAGAAAAGCAGGCCACACTTGATCAGAACACCACAGACTGAAAATCCCAAATATAGGAAATGGCACAAATCTGAGCAGGAAACTCCACCTCAGCAGCATTTCCTAATATTTTCTCTTATGTGAGCAATGCAAAACACTCAGCAGGGTGTTCTGTAAGAGAACACGAGTGATGCTCTACTGAGAAGTGCAGAAAATATAGTAATAAAAGCCAAAGATGGTGGGGAATGAGGAAAAAGGAGGGCATTCAGTCCACATCCTTTCCATTTAAACAGCTCTTTAATACATGCAGCAGTGTAAGCCACTCTGGATCGGTGAATAAGCTTGAATAAGAGTATTCCTCTTTTTGTTCTGACCAACATCTCACCTACATTTCATGAGAGCCATACGGAGTTAGATGCTTTAGTGATAGGTTTTTTTGAGGTGTCTCCCCATGAGGGGAGCATTGAGGGAGTCTAGAACACAAAAGGGCTTATGTGAAAGTGCTGTTACTAAGAGCTCTTGATTTGTTAGCATACTACATAGGGTATTTCCGTGGACACCACTAAAGCCAGTGAGTGGGGGTAAAAGCAACACAAACCCAACCAAAAAAGAGATAGTTATTAACCTCCTGCTTCTCTGTAGGGTGACTCTGGAGGGCCTCTGGTCTGTATGAAGGATAATCGGATGTATCTCATTGGAATCATCAGCTGGGGAATAGGCTGTGGCCGCAAAGACATACCTGGTGTTTATACAAATGTGAATCGTTATCTGGACTGGATTCAGGACAACATGAAACCCTGAGAAAGAAAAATGAGCTATCCACAACCTTGTGGCCATGCCCTCGCAGCTTCCTTCTTGGTGTTTTAAGGATACTGACAGTGCTTCCCTTTATCCTATGGCTTTTCATACCACAGGAATGTGTGGGAAGGGCACATTCTCAAGTTCCTCTCCTTTCCTTGTTACAGGTTATTGGAAGCTAACAGTCCTTTCTCCCCACATCCCCAAGCTTTCTCCTTGCATCAAATCACAAGTACTATCAAATTTAATTTATAAAGAGAGTAAGCCAAGAGACGACATTGTGCATCCCATGAGCAGCTATGTTGGTTTGGGAAGGGGTATGAAATGAAGGCAAAGGGGAATTAAATTTCCTGAAAACTTAAATCTCACTTCTTTGACTGTAAATTTGGAATACATTCCAGTCAGGCTGAAGCTCTATCCTTATACCACTTTACTTTGGTTATGTAAGTTGGTTTCAGCTTCATTCTCTGTCCTCAGAGAAATGGTGGTTAAGTCCAGTTAATCTTCATAACTGAAGCACAGTCCTTAGCCTGCTGCTCAAAACCCTACTAGTAAACAGGAATGGTTTAGCTGTCCTAAAGGCAGTTTCAGTGAGGTTCCAGGAAGTGCTCAGTGCTCCTTGCAGGAAACACCAGGAAAAAAGACCAAGAGATAAGTTCATTTTAGCTTTTCAGACAGTGGCTTAGTCCCAAGCTCACAATCCCAACTGCATAATGACATGTACCCCCTAAGGCACCCACTATCCACAATCCAACTGGCATAATTCACCTTCCTCCTCAAATACCAACTGTATTTTTTGTACAGCCCACACAAGCCACTCTGGAATGACACATATGACATGTAAAACTGAACTTTATTGATGCCCTTGCTGAAGGTTATATTTGCACTGAACATGCTCGGCAGTAAGGCCACCTGCTATGGCTTTCATCGGTTGCACTGAAACTTGCAATTCCACATGCAAGGTGCCACTCATCCACTGCAAGTGTTCATCACACACAAACCAGAATGTGTGTTACCCTTTGCTTAAGAGTCACCTTGTGCTGTTCACAAGCATGAACTGTACATGCTGCACTCCCCAGCCAGGTACAAGTTCTGCTACCACAGAGAAAACACATTGGCATCTAGTGGCCAAAGAGCACATTACAGACAATATAGAACACTGCAGATGCCTCTCAGTTCATATTTATGCTGTAGAGAGATGCAGCACAGACTGGAATGAGCTCCTAAGGAAGAGATGGTCCCAGCGAAAAATCCAGTGTAGGCTTGAATCCACCTGCAGAGCAGCTGATTGATACAGGAACTGGAATGAGGTAGGACAGCAAGAAATACTACAAAGGTACCAGGACACAATTACCTCAAAGACAGACATCAGTGAGCAGAAGAACAGCAGTATCACCTTCATTTGTACTAGGCAGGCAAGAAGACAAGAAAAGGTTCCAACAAGTTACTAGGAGAGTTGTTGTCTTCATTTAATCACAGCTTCAATTTCCATCAGTGTGCTCATGCCTGCCTGTCTCTGTCCTGACTCTCCAGAGAAACCAGGAGAATCCCTACCTTCAAATACTGATGAAATAAGAGAAGGAGAATTACATTCAGGTGTCACCACCCATCGATTACAAGACCGTATGTGCTGTGTCAGCCCTTTGGAGGATACCATCCTAAGATTTGGATGGGTTTCCAGTGCATCTCCAGAGATTCAAGATACTTGATGACCAAAAGAGCTTATGAAATATGTAGAAAATGCATGTACTTCTTCTCTTCCTCCCTCTGTGACACCATCCCCAATCTCAAGCTTCTTAACTTCTCATGCTGGGTGGGACAATCTACCTTTCCACTTCTCTCAGTCCCTTCCAGGTAGAATGGCTGGATGATCTCTCTGCTGCCAAGAGCTATAGAGCTCTCCACCCTAACGCCCAGTGACGGAGAAGGGCAAATGCTGGACCATCACACTGGAGTTGAAGTTTGGGGAAATTCAACTTTGTATCATCTACGAGGGCTAAAAGCCAACCAAAACATAAGGAAGAGGAGTTACAAAAGGCAATAAAACCCTAGAATTTCCTTGAAGACAGCAAAGTGAAGGTGATACAAGCATACATAGCTGAAGCTGACTCACTAATCCCAAGAGACCTGAACACCTCTCGCATCTGCCATTGTTCCAAATGCTTCAGACTCAGCTAGGGATGAGATGGTTTCAGGTCAACCTTACCTTTCCCTGCTCCACAGCACCCTAAGCACTGACTCTCCTGCTCATGCTACTACAGGCAAGGGAGCAACCCTGGACAGATGGATGGGGTAAGAGGCTGCATCCAACAGCCGGGGACAGAAGAAACAGGAAAGTGCTCTTCCTTGCTATCAGGATCCTCTAGGTTCGTACTTGGAACTTGCCAGCCTTAGTCATGTATTTTATCCCCTTGAAGGGCTTGTACTTCTCCCCATACATGTCCAAGCGATTCACCTTCAGTCCTAAAGGCAAACAAACACAGCATAAGACTGACTGCTGCCACAAGCAAAGCAGACAGGCCTTCAAGATAAAGGAACAGCAGATCATGCCAGCAGTGCAGAAAGCACAGGGAAAGTTTTAGGAAGCAGTAAAAAGAATGGAGAAAAGCTGACAACTGCTAATTGTCAGAATCACTTTTTACCAACACATCTATACCCTAAAATCGTTTACAGGTCTGTAAGCACAACATGCAAGGAAATGTAGATAGGCTGTTTCAGAGCATCAGAGAGAACAAATCCATGTATCTGTAGTCAAAGCACACCATTTTTTTTTACTTGAAGACCATGTTTCAGGTAGAATGTACTTCAGAAGGCCTGCAGAGCTACTTCAGCTACATGCAGAACGAGCAAGACGCAGCAGAGAATATTCAGGCAGTCACTTACCAGATATAGCCAGCTGCTGGATTTTAAACTGCAGGTTAATGGTGGGGTTTTCATCTGGTTTTGATGTCCCAGCTTGCAGGCTCATGCTCCCCTTCAGGCTTGGCAGCTTCTGGGGGTTTATTTTCCCCACATCCCATGACAGCAACTTCAAGGAGAAAAAAACTGCAGCAGTGAAACAGAAATGCTGGAACAGCCCCCGAAGAACAGTCCCCCTCCTATGACAGCTTGAAATGTTTCTTTATGGAAAAAGTCTTAGTATCTTGCCCTTCATATTGGACAGGCACAGTACAGGCTTCTTGTCCCTCTCTCTGCATGAGGTTCCTCAAAAGCCTACCGCAAATGGCAGGCCTCAACCTGAATCTGCAGTATTTTCAAAGGACCAAGTCTATTGTGCAGTATTAGGGATGACAGCTACAAATCCAGACGTTTGCAAAGCATCCACCAGAGCAATGCCTCATCATACAATAGCAGTTCTTGGATTTTCTGCACACACCAAGCAACCAGGACCATAATCCACTTGGACACCGAGCTATTTGTTGTGGGGATTAAGGCAATTTATAGGATGCAACTGTGCAGAGAAAGTTCTCACCCCAAAAAAAGAGACAACCTTCAGAAAAGCAGTGTTCAAGGAAATGTGCTTATAACCATGAACAGCTCAACTTCATTTGCTGAAAGGTAATAATAAATAACAATATAATAATAAAAAAGAAGTTCAGTTCTCTCTTTCCTCTCACCTTTGTAACTGGATCGAAAACGTGTGTTCCCTGAGAGGGTGTGAGGGTCATATTTAAGACACCTTTTGGCATCTGGCTGGTGACAATCACTCCCTCTACAGTCTTCCCCATAGTCTGCTTCGGCCCCACTGTGATCTCAAAACGTCCCAGTGAGCTGCTGTCACGGAAACTGATGTTGTGCTTAACGTAGACAGGAATTGCCACAAGACTGGAAGAAGGACATGAACAGAAAATTCTTGTCAATCTCTCACCTCCATCTTTGCTTTACCTGATGCAGTCCTTGCCTTCTACACTGAAAACATTGGAAACCAATCTCCTTAAAAGAGAAGGAAATCCTACACTTGTTTGATCCCTTCCAACCCAAACCATTTTATGATTCTATGTATTTCCACTTCATTTAGCACTTGCCACCTGATCTTTAAAAGCAATTCCTTGGGTATTTTTCCCTTCTACTAGCCAGGAAGATCCTAATTTTGTAATTCACAGTACTACATTCATCACCTACTTCTGAGCACTGACATGGTAGGACAGCAAGCGAAAATTCCCATCAGGTGGAATGAAGGAGAGTATTCTCTCTGACTCCCAGCGCTTAAAACGCACACAGGGATGGAAGCTGACATCATCCAACAACCGAGGGTTCTGAAATAAAAGGAAGTCACCAGGTTCAGGAAGGCAGTTCTATTTAATATAACCCCATCTTCCATCCATGAAGATGCACCTCCCATTTGATGCACTCCACCCACTTGATAGTATCTACATTCAGACACGTTAAGCTATTTGATGCTGTTACATCTGCATAATAGGAGTACTTATTAATCTCTATCCTATGTTAGGAAGTTCAGTCATGTCAAATAATTACCTTGATGCACACCATTAAAAAGGCAACCTTTAGGATATCTGCTTAAAACACCGCTGTATCTCAAAAACTTAGTCACAGCACACACTAACAGTACTTTAAAAAAAAAGCCAAGTCTCTTTAAATTCAAACACCTTTAGGCTCAAAGTTGCTGAAGTTCATTAGGAGCTTCCATTGTCAGTTCTTTCTCTTTTTGTTTGGCATACCCACGTTCTGATGTACTGAAATCCATCAGCGTGAGCCTGAGATCCTAGCAGCAGAGCTGGAAAACCCTTTTCAAATACACTTAAGATACACCCTTGAGCTTTACCATAAAGGAGAGTGTAAGGTCTGGCATCCCAGTCAGCTTGACACAAGCATCAATCACCCCTTGGATTTCAGCAGTAATCGTGGAACCTGCAACAGTAAAGGAAATGCAAGAGGTTATGCCAATCTGATCCAAAAAGTCCCCATGTGGAAAAACTATCAATAGGGAGGAACTGACACCAGCAATGTCCATTTTAATGGTAAGTGGCAATAGCTCCCAGCTCTAACAAGACTAAGATGCACAAAAACTGAGGGAAAAGGGCTATGAACAATTTTCATGCATGATTTTCACTCACCTCCTATTTTCCCAATTGCTTACAAGAACTCAGGAACAAGGACAAGTGAAAACCTTGGTACCCCTCTAAAATAACACCTATGAGTTGTCAAGGTTCCACAGTAAGAATAAGAATAGAGCTTCCCAAACTTATATGAGGCACCTCCTCTTTGAAGACCTAAATCTCTCTTCAAGCACTATCAGGACAAGTTACCCTCATCTTAGCCAGAAGGAACTCCCATACCTGATTTGTCAATGATTGCATCTATCTCCTCAACTACATCAAAATATGCCTCATTGTTGGTATATTTGACACCAGTGCGTCTCCAAGGCACCACTGACAGCTGTCCAGTAGGGAGCTGGTCACCCACATTAGTGCTTCCTGGAAGAAGAAAGACAATCACAAGCACCACAGAAGTTAGACAGTGCTCCAGAACAAGTCCTTGGCATTATATAACTTAACTGTAATTAATCTCTATCTCTTTGGAGGAGAGCAATTAGTCTTCCAGACTCACTGTCTGTAATCTACAACTTACATCTCTCTTATATCCAACTCTAAAACATACCACAGGAAGGCACCCAGAAGTGAAACTAAGAGCCACCCCAACAAAAAACCCACAGCAAACTGACTCATCCAGGAAGTCAGGTCATGGTGGAACTGGAAATGTCATCTGCCTGGTTTGGATAAATTAAAGAATGCAGTGTCCTAATTCACTTCTGCAGGAATATTGCCACATGGTCTCCCCAGTTTATCTCCTTCTTTCTCTGTACCTGTAATGGTGTTGACAACTGTTCGCAGGATAGTGGGTGGTTTTATCAGTTCCTTAAGAATATTAGACTCTGTTGCCAATGGAAAGCCATTATCCAGCATCTCCTCCAGGACCTCATAAACGACCACCACATTGTCCTTGATCATCACCTCTGAACAGACACCAAAATAATCCTGTGCAAAAAGAAATAATGGTTCAACAGTCTCTGAAAGAGTCTTAGTGATCATTCAGTTCAGCATCCTCCCACACAGGAATACATCAAGCCTCTTCTTGGAAACAACACTGAAACTCCATGTAGTAGTCCAAGCACAACAGTCTGACCACTCCAACAGACACACACAGCTCCAAGCACACCTCTGCCACTGATGCAGCAAACCCAGCACATCACCACATGCTCTTATTTCCTTTCTATGTAGCAAGATCCCCTTTGATAGCTGAGGTTAGTGCTTGGAAGTGGCTCAGCTGCAACCGAGTGAGCAGCAATATTAATAAAGCCAACTTACTTCCTGCAGCCACTTGCACACAGTGATGCTTTTTACCAGACTCCAGTGCCATAAATCCTTCCTGGCTGCCCTCACCTTTTCCTGCAGTGCTCTCAGTATTATAACTGCTGTTTAATGAATTCAAAGGCCCTCAAAGCTTTTAATTTCCTTTTGCTAGTATGTTTGCATATATAGATGCAATGATACGATTATTATCTTCAATTCTGTAAAGATTTATTAGGATTTATTTTGATGTGGAATAGAAGGGAAGCCCAGCTTCTATGCTTAGTCTGTATAGGTCCATGTTTGTCTTACAGAAGAATGTCTCTGAAGTCCATCTAACATGCTACCTGTGCTTTTGTCATTCTGAGACCACTTGGGGTGTGCAGACTGCTTACACATCTGTCCTGGGTTCAGCTCCTAATCAGTGAACAAACACACCTTGTCCCATCACAAAAACCAAGATCCAGGTGCCTGACACAGGACATTTACGACCTGAACAGCCAACCCGCTCCCTGGCCTTAGTGAAACACAATCCAGCCCACACTCGTGGCCTGACTGGTGCCTGGAAGCAGGAGCTCACATGACACTTGTTGGCCCAAGTACCCACATGTCCTGTATTTTGGCAGGATGCTGGTCACAAGGCATTCCAAATCCAGACTCCACAACAAACGTTTTCACTGTTTCCCTAAGCTGACCAGCAGTCATGTCAGCACAGAGGGAACATGGTGCAGTTCCTGGTGTCCTCAACATAAGAAGGCATGTGGAGCTGTTGGAGCAAGTCCAGAGGAGGCCACGAAGATGCGCAGGGGCTGGAGCACCTCCCATATGGAGACAGCCTGAGACAATTGGGGCTGTTCAGCCTGGAGAAGAGAAGCTGTGTGGAGACCTCAAAGCAGCTTCCAGTGTCTGAAGGGGGCTACAAGGATGCTGGAGAGGGACTCTTCATCAGGGACTGTAGGGATAGGACAAGGGGTGATGGGTTCAAACTGAAACAGGGGAAGTTCAAGTTGGGTATGAGGAAGAAGTTCTTTACTGTGCAGGTGGTGAGGCCTGGAACAGATTGCCCAGAGAAGCGGTAAATGCTCCATACCTGGCAGTGTTCAAGGCCAGGCTGGACAGAGCCTTGGGTGACATGGTCTAGTGTGAGGTGTCCCTGCCCATGGCAAGGGGGTGGAACTGGATGATCTTCAGGTCCTTTCCAACCCAAACCATTCTATGATTCTATGACTGCTCTGGGGAACCTCCTGTGACTCAGTTCTTTAGGAACCAAATATGCTTTCAAGAAGCATTGCTAGACATAAGCACACAGGTAGCTAATCACGGAGTAAAGATACAAATCCCAAAAGCTCCTTGTGAGGACAAGGCCCTCCTGGGCTGGGTTCACAGCTCCTCGAAGAGACAGGGCTGCAAACCAAGAAACATCAATCTTGACAGCTGAAATGTCCTTCCTCATCCCGAATCAATCCATCATCACCCTGGGCTGCATGCACCCACCGAAAGCCCTAGAGACCCTCTGGGGCAGGGGAGATGGGGGGGGGGGGGGGGGGGGGGAGCAGCCCAGAAACCAACCTCACCTGGAAGGTGTCGACGACGCGGTGCAGGAACTCGATGACGAAGAGGGGAGGCACCTCGCTCTGGATAACGGCCACGAAAAAGATCTTGTGGCGGTAGACGCTGAGGAGGTAATGGTGCGGCGTGGGGATCACCGGCGGCACGTTCTCCGCCTCCGAGGCCCTCTCCTGCGCCTCGAAGAAGTAGTCGCAGACGGAGCGGCTGACGACGCTCTTCCAGTGCTTCTCCAGGAAGATGTCCCCCGCGGCGTTGATCAGGAACAGGCTGTGGATCATGGCTGCCCCCCTCGGCCCGCACCCCCGGGCCCCGCGCAGCAGCGGCCACCACAGCCCGGCGCCCACCCGGCCCCTGCCTCACGCGAAGCTCCGCCCCCCCTGCGCGCGGATTGGCGGAGAGGAAGGCTTCCCCCCACACACACCCCAACCCTCACCCCTCTCCCGGGCGAGCGTTCTCATTGGTGTGATCCACTCACAGCCACGCCCGATAGGCCGAGGAGAGGCGGGGGTGGGTGATGACGCGCCAGAACGGCTGGCTGCGATTGGGCAGCAGCTTGCCATAACCGCAGCCCAGACGGGAGCGCGCGCACTCAACGCCCCGCCGGGAGAGGCGCCGGAAGGGGCGGGGCTCTACGGGAGCGCGCGTAGCGGGTCCGGTCCGGCCCGAGCGGGAGGGAGCAGCCGCCGGTTTGTTTCCGCAGGGCAAGCGTCGATGCAGGCCACCGGACGCGTTACGGGCCCGGTGGGCACAGCGAGCCCCTGGACTTCCGATGGGGCAGATGCCACCCCAGGTAATTTTGCAGTTTTACCGCTCTGCTGGAGCGAACCTGGGCACAAGAGCGATGCCAAAGCGCCCGGCGCCCCGTTAGGTAACTGGATAAGCAGATTACCCTCACTACCGGGGCTGGCGGCGAAGCCCGGGGTCAGGGTTGCTGCCCCAGCACCGCAGGACTCGGGACCGAGCCGTTACACCCAACTGAGCCTCACGACTGAGGGCAAATACCTCCGAATGTGGAAGATGAGTAACCTGAACGGGTCTGTGATGCGTGTGCAAAACATGGTCCTGCTCAGAGCTTATACTAGATCTTATTTTATCTTCATACGTTGTAGCTGTTTTACTTCCAAAAGGGGTGGAGATCAGTGTATTTGCTCTGATACTACTTTTTAATACATCCTTACTTAAGGTATCAGGTAATTCACTAAGCACTAGTTGAGCTTTCTGCTATAGCAGAAAATAAGGAAGGAGAAATGGCCTTTATATTAATTTCTTGGTTATGGTCATGATTTGTAACAAATGCATTTTTAAGCATCAAATAATGCTTTGGAAAAAAAAAAGCCTAATTTAATGTGTAATTAATTACACATTTGAGAGCAGCAAAAGGGACTATTTTGTCATTTAATTACAGTGCTTCTAAATTTAAAATAATAATTATTTTAATACATCTCCAGTTTTAACTTAAAGGTATTGTACAGGTTATTTCATCAATCTATGAGAATGTTGGAGAGAAAATGGGAGTCATACGGGTATCACAAATGGAAAGCAACAGCACACAGGTAAATTGACTGACGACATAAAGCCTTTATCCATTTGGTTCTCTGAGGAACTCAAAACCTTTCTGTTTTTAACTTGGACCTTAAAATCAGCAGTCATGGTATATGTCTTTTCAATACAGGCAGCTTGTTTTTGTCTCAGTTTTGACTGTATCGTACACTGTTTAAAACCTGCCATTTCCCTCTGACTGCTTGCTCTCATCATCAAAACTGCTAATATTTCACCCAGTTCATGAAGTTCTCACTTCTGTATTTTTTCCCCACTTACTTCAGTTTCTTTCGCCATCAAGAACATTGGTGTCAATATAAAAGCAACCTGAGGGTAATTATTTCTGCACACCAAAGGAAAAGGTTGTTGAGAGAAAAGGGGAAATAGATCTCTGCTTTAAGATCAGGCAGGTTTATTATAGCATCTTGCTGGCACCAGCAGAGAACAGTCTGTAGTTACACCAGTGTTTGCGGCTGCAGAAATGCTGCCTGGCTGCTTCTAGACTGTCAGCACAAAGATCATGTTTTGTTCTAAAAGTCGGGTCCCACAGTGGCTCAGGAGCTAATATAAACTGGAACCTAAGAGGAGAACATGGCAGAAGATGCTGCCAGAAGAGAATTTCATTGTGTTGGTTGATTTACTGACAGCTTGAAAACTCCCACTTGAAGGGCTTTATACTTCTGTACTATGTATGCCCTCAGAGAAACCTAAGCACAGTCGCAGACAGCGCTACAAAGTGGTGTTGCCAAACCATGCACTGTCTTTATCATAAAACAATTCCTCCCCATCTCCAGTTTGCCAGATGCAGGAATTCTGGTGATTTAACCTGTTACCCTGTGCTGTGAAAATAAAGAAAGTAGAAGAAACCAGACCATTTTTAACATTTATAACAGTGAACAATCCCAATTCATTTTCCAAGGGAACTAACAATAACCTACTGTCAATTTTGAAACAGAATATAGTCTACTATGCGTTGCAGGAACGCAATTGGGGTTCACTGTTATGTACCGTATCCTCTTAGTCTTTTGTAACTGCAAAATATATCTCCATTAGCTTTTCTGGTTATTGCTTTGTAATTTAGGGCTCTGGAAGCCATAAACCACCTGAAAACTCGGGAGGAGGTGGGAAAAGACATTAATGGCTAGGGAGAATCCAAGCCAATCCTGACAAGACAAGGCCATACCTCTATAATCTACATGGCAGAAACAGAACTGTTTGTACAGTGCCTTGTATAACAGCATCTCAGCCTCCATTTGCTTCAAGTAATAAGTATTTAACTTTTGTGCTGAAAAAGCTTGTTAAAACATCAAGAAAGGCCCTCTTGCTCAACAGAGAAACATCTCACCTCAAGACCCTAAACGAAGCCATTCAGAACACATCACAAGTTTGTTTTATCAACTCTTGTCTCCACAATGTTTCTTAAGATTTTCTCTTTTCTAAAACGGGAAGCTCACGTTAAACTTTACAAAATAAACCTTATCAAAGAGTCTTTTAAGGCTAAAGAATAGCTATTTCGTGACGTGACACACGTGGTAAACTGCTCATGCTTTGGTGGAGCGTGTTTTACTCCACAAACTAAAAGGTATGGAAGACGCCAGTCACACGGATTACCTCACCAGGATGCCTTCAGCCGTGCACGGCTCTCCCCGGCCTCACGGCACCGTTACTCCAGGCCTCTCCATCGCTTCGGTACCTTTAAATCAGGAAGAACCCCGTCACCGTTCCAAACGCGAGCTTAGTTAAGCCCAAGAGATGGAGTTCCCTCCTTACAGCTTCCAACCACCCGTTACCACGGCACGGCCTCACCCCGGCCCTCCCTCCCGGCTCTCGGCGGCACCCGGAGCGTGCCCATACCCGCGGTGGCAGCTCCGGAGCGCGGAGGTTGGGGTGTGTGGTGGTGGTGGGGGGGGGTCCCCTCATGGCGGTGCCGCCGCAGCCCCGTCCCGCGGCTCTTCCCCGGCGGCGGCCGCTCCCGCCCCGCCGCGCTGTTCCCCGCGCGCGCCCCCGCCCGCCGCGGGCTGTTCCCCTCCCACGCCCCCTCCCCCCGCCGCAGAGCTCCGGACCCAAGATGGCCGCCGTGTCAGTTTCGGGCTTCGCCGCCGTCCGGCCTTTGCCTCTCGGTTCCCGGCTCTCGCAGGCCTCGGTGAGTAGCGCCGGCGGGACCAGCCCGGCTCCAGAGGTTGGTGCCGGGGAGCTCGGGACAGGCGGCCGGCGAGATCCGTGGGCCTGGGGAGAGGGAAGGCCCACTGGGCGCTCCAGGCTCGCGGCCTGTTCCGGCCCCGCCGCCGCTCTGCGCCAGGCCCGGACCCGGCCGCCCGCTCCCCTGGGGCCCGCCGGGCCTACACCCTGGGGAGGCGGTGGCCGCAGCGCGGCGCGGATGAGGCGAGCGGCGGGGGCCGGGGGGCTGCGGGCTGAGCTTCTGCCTGTCTCTGGCGCGAGAGAGCGCGGCTGAGGCGGGCGCGGGCCCGGCCGAACCGGTACGAGGAGCCCGGCTGCGCTCCCCGTTTCGGTGGGGATGGAGAGCGGCGCAGGGCCCGGCGGGCTGCCGGTGCTGCGGCCTGCACCCCGCTTCTCCCGATCCCGCTGCTGCGAGTCCCTCGGCTTGAGGCAGTCGCACCCCTCGGGGCGCCGTGCGCGGGGCCCGCCCGGGGCTCGGGGTCGGGATGGGGACGGGCGGTAGCAGGTGCAGGGGCCGCTTGTCACGCAGATCTGAGCGAACGAGCGCTCCGGCGCCGGGGCCGTCCCGGTGTCGCCCCGGCCTGGCCGGGCGGTTACGTAACGCCCTGAGCACGGAGCCCCGCGGGGCCGGGCCGCTGCCTCTTCCCTGGCCCGATGTCCCAGGCGCACCGCGGGTCCCTCCGCAGCGCTGGACCGCGGGGCGAGCGCCGCGTCCTTGCTGCTCTAAACGGTAGTTGTGAGTGCTCCCGGCGTGGAGCTGTGCGGTGGAGTCCTGTGTCTGCATGCGGATGTGTTCTGCGCGGTGATAAATTCTTCGGTACTTACTAGAAAGCAGAATGAGCGGACAGTGCTGATGAGTAGCTTGTGGCTAAAACTTCCCTTGCAGAAAATCGCTATTCCTTGTGATAAGCAGTTTGTGAATCCATGTTAGTGTACTCTTGCAGTAGAACTTCAGCACGACGTACTGTTATCAGACTTGGAAAAAGTCTTTGTCAAAGACAACTAAAGGCTTTGAAGAGCTTCGCACCCTTCATCTGCATGTTTAATTAGCAGTGTCATAAGCATCCCTTCTTCATTGTGTATGGTCACCTGTTACTTAGTCCTCAAGTGTTTTCAGTGTGCCTCATCTATACTGAAGATTATAATGTTGTATTCTTCTTTTCTATGGTCTCTGAAAGTGGAACATTTAATTACAATCTCTAGTTGCAGTTCTTCACTTTTTTTTTCCTTGATGGAACATCTCTCATTGCTTTTCTTAGCAGGAGGGAATCAGACCTATGATTATGCTCCTGGAAGAGCTCTGAAAGTTTCTTGCTGTTTGCTCAAGGTTCTTGGGTATTCCTACTGCTTTCTGTTGAAGTTTCAGGCAGTGTCTTCCATGTGTTAAAATGAAGAGAGCTGCTGCTTTTTTAAGATCTTTGTTGTGTGCCTCCCCCGGCCCCCAAATGTTCATTTATGTTGTGCTGAGCAATGAGATAAAACTTGGTATAGAATTTATACTGACTTACAGATTAAACTGAAAAGGGCAGAGTTTTTTTCTCTAGATTGTGTGAATGATTTCAGTGTTAAAGCACACTTTTATTAGTAGTGAAGATAAAACCTTAAGTATTACTTCAGTGTTTCAGAACTGTAGTAGTAGATTAAAAGTCTGCTTTGTGTGTATTAATGTTGGCTGCTAATTTGTTTTCCTCTTTTTCTTGTTTCCATTGGCAATATCTCTCTCCTGGTTTTCTTCCAGGCCTGATGTTACAGTTCTTCTTAGTGTGAGTGTGCAGACCAGAAGCTGAGGTGAGATATGATGAAATCTGTATGCATTTGTGGAAAATTTTTCTCTTGAAGTTGTTATGGGATTTATTGGAAAGAATGAGGAAATTTCTAATTGTTTTGCTATTCTGTCTTCAGTGTGAAAACAAAGAATGTTTGAGCAAGGAGGAGTAATTCAGAACAGAAAACGTGTATGCTATGGTTAGCTGGTTCCTGTCACTCGAGAATCTGTTTTCTCATCGTGTGAGACTTGTTCAGCATCGGGATAAAGGATAACGACTCTATGGATATACAGAATCCTTCACCATGGTAAAACTCGCCAACCCGCTGTATACAGAGTGGATTTTGGAGGCAATCAAAAAGGTAAAGAAGCAAAAACAGCGTCCTTCGGAGGAGAGGATATGCAATGCAGTGTCATCTTCACACGGTTTGGACCGCAAAACTGTTCTCGAACAGTTAGAGTTGAGTGTTAAAGATGGAACTATTTTAAAAGTCTCCAACAAGGGTCTCAACTCCTACAAGGATCCTGATAATCCTGGGAGAATAGCACTTCCGAAGCCTCGGAACCATGGCAAGTTGGATGGTAAACCAAATGTGGACTGGAATAAACTTATCAAACGGGCAATTGAGGGCTTGGCTGAGTCTAGTGGCTCATCCTTGAAGAACATCGAGCGCTTTCTGAAAGGGCAGAAAGATGTGTCTGCGTTATTTGGAGGTAGCGCTGCCTCCATTTTTCACCAGCAATTACGATTAGCTGTCAAACGTGCTGTTGGCCATGGAAGGCTTCTTAAAGATGGACCTCTGTACCAACTCAACACTAAAGCAACCACTAATGCTGATGGGAGGGAGAGCTTTGAGTCTCTTTCCTGTCTCCCTCCAGTGTGTCTCCTTCCCCATGAAAAGGATAAGGTAAGGCCCAGTTTGCATGGATGTTTTCTTGTCATCGATGAAATGTGTCAATACAGGGTCGTAATTTGAGGTCAATGATCTGTTTAACTTGCATCTTGTAAGTTAGAAATCATTAATATGCATTTAGGATTCTACTGTGACTGAAATTCTGAGTGTGATCAGAGGAAGCATAGTAGATTTGTACGTGTACCTCAAAACGTGAATGAACTGTTGTCAGTGATTTACCTCTTAACGCTCCCATACAGCAGGATTGAATGTATGGGGATAGGCTCGATCTGGTTAGGTTTATAAAGCATAGGATGTGAGCCTTCTCACCGTAAGGTGAGGTGGGTTCACAAAGCAAAGTTGAGATCACCTCCAATTTTCATGTTTTCATTTGACTGCCAGTTAAACTTCTCACTGGGACATAGCTGATACAGCAACGTGCTGATTAGCAGTTGTCATAGAGGCTTTCTTTATTCATATTTTTTTATTCAAAAAAGCACTTTCTGTCCCAGAACAGCTTTGCTGTGAAATAGGAAGAAAACGTATATAGAATATAGCAGTTGAAAAGTGCAGTCAGAGGATGTAGACAGTGGAAATGCTGGAATGAACACTCATGGACTTCTGTTCCCTTCTGTGTGCCTCCCCTCACCTGTCTTAAATATAGTTCATTATACAAACCAAAGCATTTTTCGGTTGTTTTCTTGTATGCTTTTCCCTTCTCCTTTCTTCCATCCTTGTGCATGCCAAAGGTCTTTGACCCTCCATTCCTAATGATGAAGTTGTTGGAGTGAAATTCATAGCCAGGCAGTATCTCACCTGTCCTTGTGTTGCTGTAGAGGCAGTGTAAAACAGAAGTCTCTCTTGGTTTATTGAAGGCCAGTCTGCCAGTAATTCATAGGGCTTCTATAATGTGAAATTACTTTTTTCTAACAGTAATAAATACATTTTTCAGCAGTGTTGGATTTTTGTTGTTGTTGTAAATACCCACTTCAGGGATGAGTTGAGTGTGTGATGCTCCTGGTATTCCAGGTGAGCTTTACTCTCTGGTGAGAGGGCTGCTTTATGATCTATTAGGGTTTGAAGACTTAAAACTACAGAAGTTCTAATTTAACTGTGGGAGCTCTATTGTGAACACAATACTTGGCTAGTCAGAGTATGGTATTGTGAGCTGGTGGAACATAGGAAGTAAGTATTACTCTGTGCTGGAAATTCCAGCAGCTTCCTCTATCCTTTTTTCAAGTGTTCTGTCTACAAATGTTTCCTATGTACTTCAGTGATACCTGTAATGAAATCAGGGTAGCTGTAAAACGATATAAAAACTGGATTTAAAGAGGCCTAGGACATGAGGTACCTGACTTGAGAGTGGTAGAAACAGTGGAAAACATGAGCTGTGCATATTATTATTAATGCAGCATGTTTTGCAGCCTGTTTGGTCATCTTCTAACGTGCCAAAACTGGGGACTATCTTGATACTCTTTCAGATGAACTGTTCCCTGGGGTTTTCTTAAAATAGGATATATCACAGAGTGGTGAGTGATTAATATGGGGTACTATAAATACTGAATTTGGTCTGTGGTTTGTTTTTTGTCCCCTGGAAGAGTAGCTTGTTGAGTTCTTGGGTGCATAAACCCATGCACATTTGTATGTATGTGCATTTTCGGCTGTTAGGTATGCTCCCTAATTCCTTTCCACCTGCTCAGGTGGAACATCCAACATAAGGATGCACAGTAGCTATAGCAGAAATTTTGCAAGGCATTTCCTGCATAAATTCTTTCGGGCTTGTGCTTTGTGGGGTATTTTTTGTTGATTTGGTTGTTAGTTTTTATCTAGTTGTGGGTTTGTATGTGTTTGTTTTCAACGAGCATCCTCAATTCCTGCTCTTTACGTTCTCTCTGTGCTGTGTGACCCGTGCTGAGTTTTGTAGGAGTTTAGGGCATTTTGAAGATAAGCTAAAACATCTATGTAGATTGTGCCAGCATTAATTGACTGACAAGTCAGTGGAAGCCAAAACTTGAGCTCGTTCCACAGGAATTTTAAGACAGTTTTGTTGGTCTTGTTTGAGGTTTGTATGTGTATGTTTTTGGTGGGGGGTTGCACAGACACAGAAGATCTTCCTTCACTGTTTTGTGTTAAATCTCAACCAGTTCTACAGATGCAAAAGGCTTACTGTGCTGTAGTCATTTTCTTGACTTACTGGGTGCTTGGGAGTGGGGAGGGATTTTTGTTTTGTTGGTGAGTTTCTTTTGTGTGTTTGGTTTGGGTTTCAGTTTGTTTTCCTTTTTTTTAATGGGATTATTCAGTACAGATCCTTCTGCAGTATGTGACAGTGTTTCTCCTGATTCTTACAAGAGCCTTGGCAATGAAACATGAAAAAAATCTCAACCTCCCAAACCTGAGAAATCTTAATGACCTGTGTCTTTGCTGCTGTTAGTCTTTTATCCTTGCAGAGTTTAGTGTTTAACATCCATTTAAGAACTCTCCATGTCGCTCATGATCCAAGTTTATGAATCTTAAAGGTGTGATAGCTCTTCCTTTCATTTGTTCAAGTAGCTTCCACTGAGCTGCAAGTGTTTACCTGTGTGTTTGATAGTAGTGTCACTTTGCTTAGGTGCCTAGAAGTGAACATTCAGTTCTGCCTGTTTCCCTGTGCACTGTGAACCTGATGAGCAGCTTGCAGGAGGTCTGTGAGAGTCGAGGCTTACATTAAACATAAAGCTGCGCTACAGAAGCTTTGGTTAGGAAACACCATTTGCCTTTTTTCAGCTCATTTTTTTTCTCTGGGTGTTCTGTGAGTACCACATTCTAGCGTTCAAGGGCAAAACCAATGGCAAGTTATCATGGTTTACCAGGTAGTAGTGACATGCTGCTTCCATGGTGGTTTTGAAATCCCTGGCCTAAAAGCACAACTTTGATGAAAACAAGCAAACAGGAAAAAACCCTGCTGATGGGCAGAGCTCAGTGCTGAAACTTGCTTATCTGTTAGTGACAATGGCTGACAAAAGAAGAGTCGTCTTTAATTTCAGTTTTAATCGCTTTGTGTGCCTTCACTCATGTAGGATTCACAAGTACCTACTTCTGTTGTGGAAAGAAGGAGGGGGGGTGGCAAATTATTGCAGTACCTAAAAGTAAAGGGAATTCGTGCTGAAATTGTACTGAAAGAGAAGATGGTTGAGCTGCTGCCTCCTGAGTAAGTATCACGCAAGCACTATCACTTCCACACAGCTGGGAGTAAGGAAATGCAGATGTCAGGGCTCCCACTTCAGGTTACCCAAAGAGATAATAGGTGTGGAGCAATATATTTTCAGTGCTGAGTCCACCATCCACTGATCTGTGCAGGCTGGACTCTTAAATAAGTAATCCTACTGTTACAGTGCAATTGCTACAGGAAATTTCTGGTTAAATATGCCTGAAAGATGTCTTTAAAGCATAATCATCACTTGTGTTTCATTGTGTAATTAGTATACTTGCTATACATATAGTAAAAATGTATAAACTATGTATGTTCTATATATATTTAGTAAAACCCAGGATTTTTACTTCTGAAAGTATTTTGTTTCTTGTAGAAAATTTGCTCTATGCCAGTATCTGTTATGAGGAACAGTTTTATTTCATGAAACTCCCTCATAATTGCTTTTAAAAATGCTTTTTCTGAGCTGGGAGAAGAAATTCTTTGGTGCTGCTTTGGAAACCATAATTTACCTTTAAATGAATGCCAGATTTGGTTTTGTCACCTTTATAAATGCTAAACAGAATAAACAATGGTACTGTTTTAACATATACCAGCTATTGAGGTGCCATTGGGATTAGAAAGGCTTGATACAAGTATGCAGAAAAATCTTTGAGAGTTATCTTGATGAAGTTTTCTGGGCTATTTCCCCACCACTTTGTTGGGTTTTTAGTCGTGGAGGTTTTTCTGTTGGTTGGATTTTGGTCATGATTGGTGCAGGTGATGTAGAGAGGATTTAGGAAGTTAATCTTCCTCGAGCTGACACCTTGTGGCTTTGCCAGAGGTTACCACAGCCATTGCAAAGATAGAACAAGTGCTACTCTGCTCCTCACCTGCTAGGGTTTGCAGCCGAGTTTATTACTGTTAAATGAAATTGTTGGTTTAAGTTAATGTTCTGTGTTGTGAAATTGAGCTGCTGCTGGAGGGCAGAGAGGGCAGCGCAGGGCAGGAGGGATCCTCGGCTCTGCTCTCTGTGGTGCCTCGGTTGTGTGCTGTCGTGTCAGCCCTGCAACCTGCCAGACCTTGTTTTAGCTGGACCACTAATGTGTTCATTTCTTTGCTGACCTTTTGGCACAAAAGGTGTGCTGCATTGCCAGGCAAGAAAGGCTGATTTCTCTCTCCTACAGGCGCTTAGTTTGAAATACTCCTATTTGTATGTTTGAAGCCTGAAAAGTAACAAGTATCTGATGCTTACCTATGGCTATCAAATGCCTATTTATGTCTTTACTTGTGAGAAACTCCTTATGCAGGTGTATGTTGCATCTTCAGAATGCTGGGGAGGAGGATTGTGGCTTGCAATACTTTAGGTCTTTTTTGATCAGAAACTTTGAAATAAATAAATCTGTGCCTTTTTTTTTTGGCTGCTGTTTTGTTGAATCAGAAGAGCTCACTGAACCTGTGCTGGTCTGGAAAGCCCTGGGTCATCTTACTGAACAGATCTCATTGGTACAGTAGTCTTTATTTATAGGGCTCTAGTACCTAATAGTTTGGCGCTGTACAAAAGTGTAATTGAAAAGTGTCTTGTTTTAGGAAGTTGGCATTTAGTGTGAAATAAGACAGCACTCAAGGGAGCAAAGAATAATGCTATCTGTGTAACAAATAAAGGTCGTGGTATACTAGCTACATGGTGAAAATCTTAATTGTGTCTTTTAGTCATTCCTAAACGAATACGTTCATGGGTTTGAGGTTACAGAAAGTCATGACTGAGTATGATGGCAGCACTTACTGCAGGGTGTACCTTCCTTTGGAGGCAAGCACCATGATTTTAAAACTGCATAGTATGGTGGTC